AAATTCTGGCAATTGTCTGGCCGGTGTGACTCAGTGGTTGAGCATTGACCCACGCACCAAGAGTTCGCCAGTTTGATTCCCGGTCAGGACACATGCTCAGGTTGTGGGCCCAGTCCCCAGTGGGGGGCATGCAAGAGGCGGCCAATCAACGTTCTCCCTCATCGATGTTTCTATCTCTCCCTCTCACTTCCTCTCTCTCTAAAATCAATAAAGGGAAAAAATTAAAAAAAGAAATCCTGGCAATGTTTATTTGATGACTTTGGGTGCAAAAGAAGGAACACTGAATACATGACGTCTTCTCCCACAGCTGCTACTCATTCAAGAGAACTTCAATCTCTTGGGCCCCAGTATTCCCACATGTGAAGAAATTATACTAGATAATCTCCCTAAAGCCCTTTGTGTCTAAAGGCGTTCTATGATGTAAAATAATGATTACTTGCAATGTGGTCTCGGGCAATGGGTGTTTTCTGCTCCCCAGGTGATACCAGAATGTTACAGTCTTTCGGTGTGAATGCAAAGCTCTTGGGTGTGTTTTTTTCTTTTCTTTTCTTTTCTTTTTTTTATCCTCACTCGAGGACTTTTTTGCATTTATCTTCAGATAGAGTGGGAGGGAGAGAGAGAAACATCGATGTGAGAACTGGTTGCCACCCACATGACCCCAACCAGGGCCAGGGACAAACTGTAACCGAGGTATGTGCCCTTAGCGGGAACCGAACCCGGGTCTCTCCGGTCCACTAGCTGATGCTCTAACTGCTGAGCCAAACCGGCCAGGGCTTTCCTTTTAAGTATTATAATAAAACTGAAGCGCATGATTATACAAAATTCTGGACCTAGACACTCTGTTCCTCAATGAAATGTAAAAGAACCTTAGTTTTGGTATTTTTGGGGTGGATGGGGAGTGGGAGTGTGTTTGCTATACATACCTCACTGTCTCCTAACAAGAAGGCTATTCCATTCAAATGTATTCAGAAGCCAAGAAAGTCCATCAAACCAGAGACAGGGAATTTTTTTGTGGTGTGTGTGTACGTGTACATATACACATACTGGTGTTTTATTTCTTCCCCAACTCACTCTTTGGTTTCTACAAAACCATTTTCCTCAGAAATTAAAATTTTAGTGCGGTTACAAGTATCTGCTGAGACTTAACGGGGTTTCTCCTACCCCAGAGGTACAGAGTTTCTGTTACCTGTGTCAATAACTCTCTCTCCTCCCTACTCCACATCTTTGAAGGTGGAGACAGACAGCAAACTCCTTGGCAATGAATAGGTAACTTTCCCCCCTTATCTCTCAAAATTAGTTTAAGTTCATAAAAGTTTTGTCTTTGATTCTTTAAAAAATATTAAAAAATTTATTGAAGTAGAATACATATAATGACTCAGTGGCATTTAGTACCTTCACAATGTTGTACAAACACCATTTCTGTCTAGTTCCAAAACATTTCCATCACTCCTAGATAAAATCTCGTGTCATTAAGCAGTTTCTCCCCATTCCTCCCTCCCACTAGCCCCTGATAACCAATGTGCATTCTGTCTCTGGATTTATCTATTCTGTTTACTTCGTATAAACAGAATCATACAATATGTGACCTTTTGTATCTGGCTTCTTTCAATTAGTTTTGAGGTTTATCTGCATTATAGCCTGTTATCAGTATCTAATTCTATTTTATGGTTGAATAATATTCCATTGTGTATATATATACACCACAGTTTGTATATCCATTCATCTGTTGATATATACTCAGGTCGTTTCCCTTCTTGGCTGTTTTGAACAGTGCTACAAATCAACAGACATCTAAATGTGTGTTGTTTGAATACCTGTTTTTAATTTTGGGGCATATATACCCAGGAGTGAAATTTCAAGGTTGTGTGTAATTCTTATTTTAACATTTTTGAGGAACCGCCAAACTGTTTTCTATAGCGGCTGAACTGTTTTACAGTCTCACCAGCAATGTATTTCCTATTTCTCCATATCCTTACCAACTTTTGCCATTTGCCATTTTTAAATTGTAGCTCATCTTTGGTTCTGAATCCTGATTTCTACCTCCTTCTCAAATCTGGTGATACTCCTTTTGGTAATTCCCTGTGATTAGTTCTGTAATTAAACCAAATAGCCACTTCTCAGAGGTTATTTCTGCTCTCTTACCGAGCCTTCCTCCTCTCTAACTTTATAGCTCCCAAGAAAGCCTTTATCAACTTAAGCTACTTTCCATTCCTCTTCATGCTAAGTTTTTATATTTCTTTTATTAATCTCCTTGCCTCCATCCCACAATAATATCAGATAATAATTTCCTGATTAACTGACAGCTCTATATACATAAATAATACCTGGCCATTACCCTTAGCTCAATGTGCCTGCATAGCTTTGAAAATAGGAGTAGGGACTGACTGAACTCTCAAGGGTGGGAACCATGTCTAATTCATGTTTTTATCCCTTTAACTCAGAGTAGTTTATTATCATTAAAGATCTCTGGAAATTCAAGACTCTTAAGGGTGACAGTAATACATCTTTTCCCTCTAATAATCCCTTCCCACACACTGACATTTAAAACTTTAGCTCCAGTTTATCTCACTCTGTTAGTCAACATTAGGGAATCAAAATGTTAACTAGGGATAAGTGGATCAAAGGAATTCTCTTTTGCTGGTAGCTAAATGCCTACAGGTGATGATGAAGGTCATATTGTGGGGTTATATTCATGGCATACTTAAAAGATAACATTCTGTATTTCATAATGAGTCCTATGTGGCTAAAGATGATCTGATACACCCACATAGTAGTACTAGAAAACTGCTATGGGGTGTGTGTTTGTGGAAATGTGGATGTAGTCACCAAATTATTTTGTCTTTACCAGAAACAAATGTCACTTGTCAGGTACACCTAAAGAGATGCCATCATATTAAAAGTAATTGGAGATGACAATGAAATTTTAGTCTTAAGAAAATTTTAGAATTGTTCTTAAAGATTATGTAAACTTGGATTTCTTTACAGGTGCCAAAGAACGTTCTGAGATCTATGAAGCATTTGAAAACATCTATCCTATTCTAAAGGGTTTTAAAAAAGCCTGAGTATTTCATTCAACATCTCACAGTATGTTGATCTGACTATGTGCATAAGCCTAGCACAGAAACAGCTGTATTTTTCTACTTTAATTGTAGATATTCTATGCACATTTTGACTTTACTTATTAAAAGGTGATTCTATATGAGTAACCATGTCTAAGAAATGAAGAAAGCTTCTTATTCAAAATGACTCTCATATGTTATTTTTAAAACTGAACACGTAAACATTTCAGAATTTGAGAGATTTAGGGCCTTACTGGAATGATTTTGTAGCATCATTAAAATTTAATGTTCTGCTCTTGTTAAAGATGTAGTGCATACTGTGTCCTATAAAAAATGCATGGTGATATATAGAAATTTCAAATAACTGCATAAAATAGATCCTATCTGTAATATCTAGCAGGAGAGAAATTAATATGCCTGTTTTTTGCCTTTTAAAATATTGAGTAAATGATCCTAGTTATTAGATACAGACACTGTGAAGGATTCTGTCAGAATACAAATGAAACATGAAAATCTAAAACCTTAAGAAAAATCAAATTTTTGTTTTGTTTGAAATGATCAGAAAAATTAGTTCTCTCACTTGAAAATAAATCTTACACTTTCAGGAACCATTCAGGCTTAGTGTAAGCTCTATTTGGAAACAGTATGGGGAATTTTTGCTTTTTGTGTGCCTTTTGTATTAAAAAAGACTGGATAAGAGGATGGAACAAAGGATTTAGATTCAAGACCTAATTACTTTGTGGAATCATCAGCATTTGATAGAGATGTGGAATTAACAGGGAAGGAAGAGGCTAACATGACTCATGGCCCCAAGTGGTGGTGATTATGTCTTTCACCAAGAGAGGAAACAGATTTGTGAGGAGGGAGAGTTCAGTTTCCAACACATTGAGCTTGTGGTGGCCACAGTACATCACTTGCTGTTATGAATCTTTAGGTATGGGATTTGGGAACGAAATCCCTGCTAGAGAATTTAGGGCAGTCATCAATTGACAGCCTACCAAAATAATCCTTGAGAATCACTGGTCTAGATAATTTGACCTATAAACCCACTTTTCCTTTTTCCTTCTGTGGTTTAGGGACATATTCAAACACTAATTACTCTGAAATCATTTTAGGACCCACTCTGTGAACCCCTCCCTGAAAAAGAAACTGGAAGTAATCCTATCTAGATTAAATTCTACCTAGTTCACATTCTTTCTCAGAGCGTGGCCCAGACGGAGTGGGTAGGGGAGGAATGTTGACCATTCCCTTAATTAAAATTCTCCTTTCAGAAAGATACAACATTGATTTCCACGTTCAGTAATATGGTTGTTTCCACTGGTTAGCTAGCTATTATCGGTCGAGTATTATCAGATTACTATTAAACACATTCGCTCAGTCATTCTCATCACGTTGGTGAGGTTGGTACTTCTCCATTTAACAGATGAGGACGCGGCAAGAGAGGTTAGGGATTTGCCCCAAATCACACAGCTGTTCTGGAACTGGGTGCGCTCACATGAAACCTCATTCCACGACGCAGCCCCGTCACCGGCCTTGTCTGCTGTAGTCTTAGCCAAGTTTAAAGCATCCACAGCGAATTAAAGTCCCTTATTTTGTCCCCGATCCGTTTTCCCAGACTCCTTGGGGCATCGTATGACTATTTCTTGCACAAGTTTGAGGCGTTAACCTGTGGCCTCGGCATGATCCCGGGATGATGACCTTTGGTTTGGCCGACTCGCCCCTCTACACACTTCTGCTTTGGGACCCGCTGCTCGTCAGAGGGCGGGAAGGGCCACAGCGCCCAACCCCGGGGAAGCAAGACCAGGGGCTCGCCCGGCCCCCCGCCCATGCTCCCGGCGCCTTCCCAGGCCCCGCCCCGGTCCTCCTCAGGCCCCTCCTCCGCGCCCAGGATGCATCTGGTTGAAAACAAAATCCCACGTGACTGGCTCTGCTCTCAGGCTATCATGGCGTCTCCCAGTGGGAAGGGAGCCCGGGCGCCGGAGGCTCCTGGCTGCGGGCCCCGGCCGCTCGCCCGAGACCTGGTGGACTCGGTGGACGACGCGGAGGGGCTGTACGTCGCGGTCGAGCGGTGTCCGCTGTGCAACACCACCCGCCGGCGCCTGACCTGCGCCAAGTGCGTTCAGAACGGCGATTTCGTCTACTTCGACGGCCGCGACCGGGAGAGGTACGGCGGCCGCCACGGCCCTATTGTTTCTTCCCCGGGAGTCTCCTCGGCTCCGCGCTGGAGGCTGGAGCCTGAGGCCCAGGTCTGGACCCCGGAATCCCGCAAGAGGAGGGGGAGATAGGGAGGGGAGCTGCTTTGCTCCCAGAGAACAGGGGCCGGGTGGGGGCTAGATGAGGGAATGTCGCCGTTTTACCATAACCCACCCGAGAGGCGTCTGACCCACCGAGCTCCTGGGTGCCCGGGAAAATGGATAGATGATGACTCTGGAGGAGTCTCCCCCTGTTGCTGCCTTAAAGTTGGATTCTCGGCACTTTGCTGCACTCCCATTCAAAGCTTGGTTTAACCTTTCACTGTCTTCAAAAACACATTCATCCTCTGGAGAGACCAGAAGAGAATCAAGTAACTGGTTAAGAGGGACTCGAGCCCTGGAAGCCTGTGTCACAGCTGACCCTTGTTATCAGGCATGCTTATTCTGTGTGAACTGGGACTAGCTAATTGCTCCCTGATTGTTTTGGATGCTGAGGAGTTTAGGGTTGTGTTTTGGCTTTGTTTGAAAATCCAGACTAGGAGCTGTAAGCCCTTAGTTAAGAGAATTGAATTTAAGAACATGTTTTGAAATCAGAACAGAGAGCTACAAGTCCTTGGTTAAGGTAATTGAAGAATTAATGTGTTTAGTTGAAGGGTCTCTCTCTCCCAATTTTTGTTTCAGTAACTTAGTGCCAACAATGGAACTTTTTGATCGCAAAAGTTCAGGCATTCATTCACTTACAACAACCCGGTAAGTTATTGTTCCCATCTTATTGCTGGGGAAATTGCACAGTAAGTGCCCTCCCCTAGGTCACATAGATGAGTGTAGGGACCAGAATTAAGATCCAGACATCTTGAATCCATATACTATATATTTAACCACTTGTTTGTACAACCTCTATATTTGGAAATGTTTTGAGTTCCTAGTTTTTCTCTGATCATGAATGGAGTTCAGTCCTTTTCCTCTGTTTTGAGGAGATTTGTAGAATATAATCTTTTTAGTTCATTGCTGTGTCTCATTGATGCACTTGACTTTAGAAACTGATATAATAATAGGTGATAGCTTTAAAAATTAAAGCAATTTTTATATTGTAAGAATACTAGGTATGAGATGGAAATGTCTAACTTCTGGAGTTTATCAAGGGTTCAGTTCTGGACCCTCTATCTGTACATTTTCTTCTGTTCGTTCTCATGACTTAAAAACCATCTATATGCTGAAGACTGTCAGACCGGATCTCCAAGCCAGACCTCTCCGGAATCCAGAGAACAGCTGCCTGCTCAACATCTATATTTAAATTATATCTTGGTCAACTGAACTTATTTTCCATCATAAATCTGTTCCTTCCATGTTTATGCCAACCCAGTAAATAGTAACCTCATTCTTTGTTAGAGGCCAAAAAACTTAGTCTTTCTTGACTCCTCTCTTAATGCTATCCCATCTAATCCCAGCAACACATTCTATCCACTCTTCGGAAGCTATCCTAAAATCTGATCCTTTCATCACCTCCTGTGCTGATCCACCAAAGGAATATTGCCTCTTGGGCCCCTGCTTTCACCTTTGCTCCCTTATAGTGTTATTTTCATATTGCAGCCAGAGTAACACCACTCCTCCTGATTGCCCAAAAGTAAAAAAGCCAAAGTCCTAAATCCGCGTTCTGCGTTGCCTATTCTTCTCTGTTCTATTATTTTTCCCTTTCCTACTCTGCTCTACCACCCTGGCCTCCTTGCCAGTCCTCAGACATGTCAAGAACACTCCTGCCTCATGGCATAGCAGTTATTCATACTGCCAGGAGCTCTTCTCTCAGAAATCTTCAGGGCTGCCTCCTTTGTTTCCTTTAGGCCTCTGCTCATTTATTAGAGAAATTCTTTTGACCATTCAGTTAAAATAGTAACCTCCTTTCCCAGGTTACCTGCTTTATTGTCTTTCACAGCACTTATTTCCATCTATGGCTTACCTATTGACATGTCTAACTGCCCTCAACTCCGAAGATGTAAGCTGTATGAGGGCAAGACTTTATCAGTTTTGTACTCTGCTGTATCCTCACATAGTAGATGCTTATAAGATCTGTTGAGTGATTGAATGAATCTACCTCTCCTTCCCAAACTTCATCTGATCCTGAGTCATTTCATTTTTATCCATCATGGTTATCCCTTTGTTACTAAGTCAGAAGCCTGGAAGTTATCCTAGACTTTTCCTTTTTTTTAAATCCTCACCCGAGGACATTTTCCCATTTTTTGTTCAGATAGAGTGGGAGGGGGAAGGAGAGAGAGAGAAACATCGACGTGAAAGGGACACATCAAGTGGTTGCCACCCGCACAACCCAACCAGGGCCGGGGACAAACTGCAACCGAGGTACATGCCCTTAGCGGGAACTGAATCTGGGTGTCTCAGGACCGCAGGCCGACGCTCTAACTGCTGAGCCAAACTGGCCAGGGCTAGACTTTTCCTTTTTTTCTTATTTCATGTATCCAAATCATTGGCAAGTCTAATTTGATTTGCTCCAAAATAGATCTTGAATCTCTCTCCTTCTAGTCCAGATTGCTATTATTTCTCTCCTGGTTACTTACTGGTTTATTTCTTTTTTTTTTTTGGCTCATACAACTCCTCCTCACCCTCTCTGGCCTCCACACAGTAGCCACTATAGAAGAGTAAATCAGATAATGTCATTGTTTTGTTTAAACCTTTCAGTCACTTCTCACTGTGTTTAAAATGAAATTTAAAAATTAATCTAATTAATTAAAGAATAAATTCAATGTAGGCTTTGGATTGATACTGCATTGACTTGAATCCAAGCTCCCCCACTTGCTCTGTGATTTTGAATAAGTTTGTTAACTTTGCTTATGCTTGTTTATTTCATTTTGAAAATGGTAGGGTATCTTAACTTCAAAGGTGTCTGGTAGTGATTACATAAAAGGATGCATTAAAGTATTTAGCATGATGTCTAGCACATATTAAGCACTCAAAAATAAGCTCATGTCATGCATGCTCCCTCATATTCAACTGCTCCATAGTCAGTGCCCTTTCTCTAATCCTCAAACACATGAAACGCTTCCATCACTTTTTTTCCCCTTGCTGTTCCCTCTACCTGAAATACTTTACCTTCTGATTGGCATCTTATCTATATGTCTTAACTGAAATGTCACTTCGTTAATGAGGCTTCCCCTGACCTTCACTAAGGTAGGTTCACACTTCTGTCTCTCCCCCATCATTTCCTGTCAGAGTACTCGATCCCTTCCGGTGTTGAGCATGATGTGTAATGTTCTTTGAGGAAGAGCTCCGCATCTAGATGTGACTCCATGAAGGCATGAATTCTGGTTTTGTTCAATCAGATTATCAGTGCTTTGCGCAGCAGCAGTGGGTAGCACATAGTAGGTGTATTGGTGAAGGAATAGTGAAAGCAGTAAATCCTTAAAAACATAATTTTTTTGCTAAATCTGAGCATTACAGTGAATTTACAGAATAGGGATGTGTTCTAGTATTCTTTTTCTGACCATGAAAAATAAAGAGCAAATACCAGAACCATTAAAAATTGAGAAATAAAAAAGAAAACTTAGGGTTCAGGGACAACAAGACTGCCAAAATAGTCTGTTTAGCCAGCTTTTTATTTCACTTTTCATCGTTCTCTTTTCTGAACTGTGTATTTCTTAAGAAGAGGAGTTTGTTTGCATCATTCCCAGAACAATGCTGAATATCTGCTAGGATGAAAGAATCTCTTGAGACCCAGGACCATTGTCCTAATAGCCAAATCATTTTTAATGTGCTCTCACTGGGTGTAGTTATCTGCATTATATATTCTTGCAAATTACAGAAAAGAAAGGCAGGTCTCTGCTCTCAAGGATTTACATTGATTACTAATAAGCTTTAAATTGTGTAGGTCAAAGGTTGGCCGTGAAATATTCTGTCTTATTTATGAAAATTTTGTGTTCTTTGTTTTGCTTTCCGACTCTTCATGAAAAGCTTCTCGCTAACTGTGGGAAATCACTTGGAAATACCATATGGAGATTTACGGCCCTGTTTAAACTCTTGTTTAACCTCTGATTCTGTTCAGTAAATTAGCCAAATTAGCTGTTCCTACATGGATCTTGAATATGATCATGCATATCGAAGTTCTTAGAAATATAAATGTATTTTTTTTTTTTAGGTTTCATTAATGGTGTAGATGAATATACAGGTTTTTGTTTTTTTTCCCTCACCCGAGGACATATTTGCATTTTTTGTACAGATAGAGTGGGAGGGAGGGAGGGAGAGAGAGGGAGAGAGAGAGAGGGAAACATCAACGTGAAAGGGACACATCGAGTGGCTGCCACCTGCACGACCAACCAGGGCCGGGGACAAACTGCAACCGAGGTACATGCCCTTAGCGGGAACCGAACCCGGGTCTCTCCGGACCGCAGGCCGATGCTCCAACTGCTGAGCCAAACCAGCCAGGGCAAGAATATACAGGTTTTAATGGTTTACCAGTTCAAGGAAAATTAGATATTAAAGACATTCAATCTTTCTCACAATAATTAGTTCCTTTGACTCCCTAAGAAGGAAGCATGTGTCCTTATATAATTTTGTGAAAAGTATGAAGTGGTAGATAGATTGGTTGAAAAATATCTAAACTCACTACTTTTTTTGTTGTTGTTTAGTGGGAAGATGTCTTTATATCATGATATCCTCACCAACACTAACCTTTTCTCATCTCCCACCTTGGCCCCAGTCCTAAAACAATACCTACTTTCTTCTCCACTTTTTCATCTGCTTTTTAACTTGTGTGCCTTTTAAAAGATGAAAAAGATGGTGTTAAGCAGTATTCTCAACACAATCTTTGGATCTTGTACTGCTGAATGTTTTAAAATTACAGGTCTTTTTTTTTTTTTTTCATCCTCACCCAAGGATATTTTTGCATTTATCTTCAGATAGAGTGGGAGGGAGAGAGGGAAGGAGAGAGAGAGAGAGAGAAACATCCATGTGAGAGAGACACATCAAC